TGCCTCCATATGCTCCGTACGCATATTATTATGTGTATGTAACTTCTTTGGAGGCCAGAGGGATCATTTTCCCTAACAGTGCCCCAGGCCACTCTTGGAAATGCTCTGTCCAGCTGCAAATGTTGAATAGTTCAACACTCAGGTCCCATGAAGTAGTGCTGCTAATGCCACCAGGGTGCTGGGAGGGCCATGCCATGCCATGCCCGAGATGAACGTGAGGGCCTCTATCTGCCAGGCGTAGGCTCTGGAATTCTGAGCTCTCACCAGGGCCCTACACGTGATTTCTGATGTACAATGAGAAGGACACAGAATCAATTTTGTAGTTTTCCTCAAAAGTATAAACTTATTACATGAAAATGCCAGGTAAGTCCAAATTGAGAAATAGTTTACAAAATAATTGTTGTATCAATGAGTCAGGCCACAAGAAATAAAACTTGAGGGACTCTCACAGTTGGGGGAGATACAGAGACACAACAGTAGAAGGCAATGTGGAGTCCTGGGCTGGATTCTGGGACAGAGAAAGGATTAGAAGGGAAGGTGAGCTTCCATATGACCCCGCAATACCATTTCTGGGAATACATCCCGAGGGTGCAAAAAAGCACAGTAGAAATGATACTTGCACCTGTATGCTCATTGCAGCATTGTTCACAATAGCCAGGACCTGAAAACAACCCAAGTGCCCTAGAACAGACAACTGGTTAAAGAAACTTTATTACATCTATACAATGAAATACTATGCGGCTGTTAGAAGAGATGAAGTTATGAAATTTGCTTATAAGTGGATGGTCATGGAAAGTATCATGCTCAGTGAAATGAGTCAGAAAGAGAAGGACAGACATAGAATGACTGCACTCATTTGTGGAATATAAAATAACATATTATGATACTGGCACCCAAGGACAGTAGAGACAGGACCAGGAATATTGCTCCATGGTTGGCAGCCTACCTCATGAGTTGGGGGAGAAGGCAGATGAAATAAAGAAGGTATCACTTAGTAAATGATGGTTAGAGATAAGTCCAGATGGGAGATGTATGCTGAAAGTAGATAAAGGACCAAACGTGATAGCCTCTCAGTACCTGTATCGCAAACCATAAAGCCCAAAAGGAGAGAGAGAGTATGGGGGAAATTGTCTGCCATAGAGGCAGGGGGAGGGGTGGTGGGGGGGTATATTGGGGACGTTGGTGGTGGAAAATGTGCACCGGTGGAGGGATGGGTGTTCATTGTATGACTAAACTCAAACATGAAAGCTTTGTAACTGTATTTCATGATGATTCGATAAAAATAAATAAATAAATGAAGGGAAGGTAAATTTCAATAAGGCCTATAATTTAGTAGAAACATACCATGGTAAAATTGTTTTGGCCATTCAATGGTTAACATTTAAGGAAACTGAATATGAACTTTCTATTTTACATTGCAAGTTTTCCATAAGTTTTAAAATCATTCCAACTCTTTTTAATTTTCAAAAACAAAATTGGGTCCACATATAATACTAAATTGTGTCCAACTTTCAAGAATAATTTTATGTTCTATAAACTATCCGAGAGGACAAAAACAATGGAAGGTATACTAATTAATCTTCCAAAGTTCATATAAAACTGCTCTCCAAATCTAGCAAAACCACCTCAAGGCTAGAAAACTACTGTCCTCTCTCACTTATGAATAAAACAAAATGCTTAAAAACTGAAGATAATCATTATGTCTTTTTAAAAAATCATGTCAAGATTTTTTAAAAATCATGCAATTCCAAGTATTCTACTACTACTCAATATTAGAAAATTTGTTAGAGAAAATGTCTGAAGTATTTGATAATGTTCAATAATCATTATCAACTTTTCAAACAATAGCTAATAAACCAGGAATGAAAGTATACTTTAATATCTACTTCAAGATAAAACACCAGAAATTCAGTATCACCACTGTGATAGAGTAATTATTCTGAGGATCTCTGCCAAGAAAAAGAACTAAAATAATCAACTATCAAAAAAGAGAGAAAATTGCTTGTTACTTGAAATTGCTATAAAGTTGATATTAAAATTTATTAGACATTGAAATTGACACTGAAATTATTATTTGAAATTGTTATAAAAACAACTGGAACAAGGATTACTGTGTGGAATCATTGGAAACTAAATAAAACAAATAGTCACATATTCTCTAAAGCCACTACAATTTAAACAATAAGGAAATATTATGAAATAGTTATCAGCAACAGAAGAGAAAATAAATGAAGGAAATGAAAAATGCTTCTTTATGGACACTAAAAAATCAAATAAATCAAACTTAAAGTAACATGACAAGCTGACAAAGATATTAAAAAACAACCTGCCACAGAGGCAGGGTGGGATGGGGGGGATGGGGGGTGGGAGGGATACTGGGATCCATGGTGGTGGGAAATGGGCACTGATGGAGGGATGGGTATTTGATCATTGTATAATGATCAAAAAACCCAAGCACAAAAATTTGTAAGTCTACAACTGTACCTCATGGTGTCTCACTAATAAAAATTTTAATAAATAAATAAATAAACAACCTTCCAGTTGTTACAGAAGTATAAACTGAGAAACCTCTGGAGAAGCAACTTGGCAATACTCTCAAAACCTAAATTATGTAACCTATGACCCAGAAAGTTTACGTCTAGAAATTTTCTCAGAGATAATATTCATCCACATATATAAATGCACATGTTCACACGTACATGCAAGACTACTTACATAGCATTGTTCCCTTTTGGGGTGCCACACTCAGCAATTCTTAGGGTTTACTCCAGGCTCTGCACTCAGGGATCACTCCTGGCAGGCTCAGGGGACCATATATGGTGCCAGGGATCAAATCCAGATCAGCTACAAGCAAGACAAGCACCCTACCCACTGTACTATCTCTCTGGCCCCTAGCACTGTTCTCAATAGCAAAGAAAAAAATGGGAATAATATACATATTAAAATGTAAGAGATTGATTAAGATGACATGACAACTTTAGTGCTACTATAAAGTTTTACTATAACTAGCATGATCATTTTATCTTTTTTTCAACTTTGAGTCATATTTATTTAGTAAATAACCTAATTTTTTAATTGAATCCCAGTGAGATACAGTTACAAAGTTGTTCATTATTGGGTTTCAGTCATATAATGTTCCAACAGCCATTCCTTCACCAGTGTGCATTTCCCACCACCAATGTCCCCAGTTTTCCTCATGCCACCACCCTCCTTCAACCTGCCTCTATGGGAAGCACTTTTCTCTTCTCTTCTCTTCTCTTCTCTTCTCTTCTCTTCTCTTCTCTTCTCTTCTCTTCTTTTTCTCTCCTCTTCTCTTCTCTTCTCTTCTCGTCTCTTCTCTTCTCTCTCTCTGTCTCTCTGTTTCTGTCTATCTCCCTCTGTTTCTGTCTCTATCTCTCTGTCTCTATCTCTCTGTCTCTGTCTCTGTCTCTCTGTCTCTGTCTCTGTCTCTCTCTCTCTCCTCCCTTTTGGACATTATAGAATAATCATTTTAATAAAAAAATTTTCTTAGAAATTTTTATCAAAGAGAACATACACACTTTTTAAAGTATTTTCATCTAGGTGGTAGAATTATGGTAATTTATTTTCTTCACTTTGTATTTCTGTGCCCACATTTTCTACAATACACCTCTATGGTAACTGGCAGATAAAATACAATACAAGGTTTACCTGTGGAGCAAAGGGATTCCAGTCCCTTCCTCACATCTGTAGGATACCTGCCCATTTATCATGTGCATTTTTATGAATTGCCTCCAAGTTCTAGATTTTAATTACCAACTTGCAAAACACAGAATAAACATTTTCAATTTTTCACCAGTCTCCACCACTATCTCCATGAACGCAGTACTGTAGTCAATTCTCATACAACTACATCCTGATAGTGGGCCAAGAAGTGAAGCCAGCATTTGGTTGGGGTGAAAAGAGTATGGAAGATCACAGTGAGGAAGAAAACTTGGAATATTTACCCAACAAGGCATAAATCTCCACAGGAAACTTGCTAGTTTGGGTTCCAGCAAATTTTCTCCAACCAAGTGAGAATTGTATTTTATTATCTATTTATGAACAATAATCTATTGCTTAAGTCAACCTGGGTTCCATAACATGAAACTGAGGTAAATAAATGCTTAAGGTTTAGATCCTGATTCTCTCAAGAGCAAGAACTGGGGAGTGGACATGATACACACACTTACTTACAACTCCCTACAATGGCTCGGCTTTGAGTAGCCAGAGAGTAGTATTTAAGAAAGTGCCCCATAACCCTACAGTGCCTACTTTAGAGGGACCCTCACAACAAGACGAGGGGGGAAGAGTTGTAATCTTGATCACATCCTTAAACATCCTCCATCACAGGAACCCTGAGAACTTCCCCAGATACAATTTAAGGAATAAGACACTCAGTCACACATGTTAGAAGTTCTCAAACTTCTACATAGAAGGGGTGTAATCAGCAGTGATCTGGACAGGAAGGGGGCCAGGAGCAATGGATTCAGACCTTTTTGCGTCTGTTTACATAAACGGTTGAGGTTTTGTTCGCATCATAGGCCATTATGAACATATGTGTCACACATATATTCACAAACATGCAATTATACTATTAATATACAAGTTCTATGAAAGAATATATGTGGCATGTATCAATCTCTTCAACATATTCTATTTCATTGCACTGAGAGATGTCAGTCTGTTCTATTCTATTAAACATTCTTTCTAAACCTCACTAAGTATTCCAATAATCAGCTGGCAACCTGCAGCTGAAAACACACAGGGAGACACCCTGGATTTATGATCGTTGGAATGAATGCTAGATAAGTCCCCTGGTATCTTTTGGCTCCAAGTCAACTCTCCAATATGAAAAGCGTGAAAACTTACCACAAATCATGGGAATACTCATAATCGCCAATTATGAAAATCTTATTTATGAAAATCTAATCTATTGAGATAACTCCCACCACTGGCACTTTCTCACCATGGCTGTGGCAGAAAATTCTGGAAAGAGTTACCGTAGGAAGAACTGTTGAAGAGCTCGATGTTGAAGAAAGCGTAGTCTCCACTGGTCATCCCGTGCCTGTGCACTGCCAGCATGATGCTCCGGATGGTGTCGCTGCTCGCACACAAGATCACAACTGGAGAGGGAGGAACAAACCACATGGTCAAACACCCCTGCACAGAGGACAGCCAGAAGCTGAGGTCAGTGCGGGGTGGCTGACAAGGAGCAGAGAATCTCCATCCTCCTAAAGAAACTGTTTGCAGATTACTGATTAATTACAGAAGGGAGGATGGTAACTTCCAAGTGGAGAAACCCAACTAACCCACCACATAATGGAATAAACTGTCTCTACCATAACCACCACCATTTCTTTTTTGTTTTGTTTTGTTTTGCTTTTTCGGTCACCCCTGGCGATGCCCAAGGGTTACTCCTGGCTCTGCACTAAGGATTACTCCTGTGGTGCTCGGAGGACCACATGGAATGCTAGGAATCAAACCCAGGTTGGCCTCGTGCAAGGCAAATGCTCTACCCGCTGTACTATCGCTCCAGCCCGCCCCCACCACCACTTCGACCACGCCCATCATCATCACTGTCAGTACAATCACCATCACCACCACCAACACCACTATTACCACCACCACCACCATCATTGCCACCACCACCAAGCACAATCAACAAGCTTCTTAAGGTAACACAAACAGAACCCTAAATGTCAACATTGACAAAGTTGCATCCAATCAGAGAAAGCAGCCACAGCCCCATTCTGGGTAGCAGCCAAAGAACAGCCGGCCAGCCGGCCCACACTCTTGAGAGCAGTCTATTTCATGAAAAATAAGACAGGCCAAGGAAGCATGAAAAAGAATAAAAAACAGAGGTCAAAGACTGGAAAATTAAAATCAGTGGTGACCCTCAACTGAATCCTGATCTGGAAAGATAAATATGGAAGTTTTGCTATAAAAGGCATTATTGAGACAACTGGAGAAATGTGAATAAGAGCTGTCAACTGGATCATAGCATTGCATTGTGTTAAAAGTTGTGATTTCTCGGGGCTGGAGCAATAGCACAGTGGATAGGGCATTTGCCTTGCACACGGCCGACCCGGGTTTGATTCCCAGCATCCCATATGATCCCCTGAGCACTGCCAGGGGTGATTCCTGAGTGCAGAATCAGGAGTAACCCCTGTGCGCATCGCCAGGTGTGACCCAAAAAGCAAAAAAAAAAAAAAGTTGTGATTTCTCATAACTACGATAGGTATATGAGTGAATATCTTTATTTTTAGGAAACATCCTTGAATATGTATTTGAGGATAAAGAAGCATAAACGCTATGCTCAAATGGTTCCTATAAAGACAGTGATATTTTTGTGTCCATCTATATGTGTATGTACATACGTATAGATATAGATATAGATATATAGGGTAAGAAGGGAGGGAGGAAGATGGAGGGAAGTGAGGGCGGGAAGAAGAAGGCAAGGAAGAGGAGGAAATAAAAGGGATGGGAGGACAGAGGTAGGAGGAGATCCCAACTGCTGAAGTATCTATGTTCTAATAATTACAACTGGCAAAAATCTAGAAGATTCTACAAGGCTCTTTATTCTTTCTTATATTGTTTCCAAAAGTATAAAATTATTTAAAAATAGAGCTGCTGGTTTTGTTTTAATACTTCAAATAGGCCCTCTCTTCTCTGGAGAGCCCATGTTCTCTCCTCACATGGATCACTCCAAATCCCCCCTCCCACTATTCCCCTCCTATTTTCTAATTAAACTGCTTTACTTCACAAAAGATAAAGACAGAAAAATAAGTAAATGCTTCAAACAAAGAGCCAGATTTGCTTAATTATTTTTTTTAAAAAAAGGTAAAATAGACCAACCACGTTTTATAGTAAATGCACTGTAAACTGTTTCCTGAAAAAGTGAATTGAATGGCTTAAGGGCAAACGTAACTCATCTGGCAAATCTGAGACTGCAGGGAACAATATTAATGTGGAAATATTGTTCTGCCGCTGTCTGGGCACCTTCGGGCCAGTTCCCAGTCCCTCCCAGGGCGCTAAGGGTAAAGCAACCCTTGGCGTTAGAGGTTTTGCACAGCTCCAGAATATCGCTGCCCTGTGACCCAGTCTACCCAGTTATTAGGATCCTTGTGGCTGGACCCTCTGCACGCAGGCATGCATCAAGCCATCAGGAGCCACTGGCGGCCTGGGCTCTGTGCGCGCACGCGTTATCACCCAGCATGCCAGCCCTCGGAGATGTGTGCGCTCTTTGTGAAACAGGGGTGCTGAAAGACGTCAAACCAACTACGAACTGCGCCAAGGCTGCCTTGGCAACCTGCTCGGAGCAGCACTCGCCTTGTTGATGTTCCATTTGCTGCCCACATTCACTCTGCACCTTTTATCCGGGACGCTGGCATTTCTTACTACAAAGGGGCTTGCTGTACAGACCCAAAGCTCTGTGGAGCAAGTTTTGAGACCAAGACAAAAACTCTTCCAAGGTCTATAGTTGTGTTTTGGTCCTGGACACATACAGTTTTATGTTTGAGGGTAAAGAGTTAAATTCCAAGGTGCCGCAGTAAAGATGCTTGCAAAGCAACTCACCATTTCTAACCACCTCTAGATGCCTACCCATCCCCCACTTTTTGCTCCGATTTGATGCTGACCCTTCTTTTAAGAAAACAGCCTAGAACAGTCCCACAGAACAGTCAAAAAGTGACTGTCAGGGGCTGAGTCAGTTTCAAGAGTGTGGATTCCTAAGGAGGCAGCAACTCCAGGTCACCCTAGAAAGTGAGCTGGGCAGCTCTCAATTTCTTAATCCATTGATCACAGCCCAGAGCCTGGCCCGAAACTCCCACAAGCACACACTGTTGCTGTCCACAGAGGAAGAGGCAAATCCGTGCTAGTGGACAGAGTCCAGAACACAGGATGTTCAGAAACGAAGGCCACCTCAATAGTATGAGGACTACAGTGATGACAAACATGGTTGGGGGGTCGGGGTGTTTTGTTTTTTTACATTTTTTTCCATGAGAGGGGGTTGTTTGTTAATTTTTTGAGCCACACCCAGTGGTCCTCAGAGCTTATTCCTGGCTCTGTGCTTATTCCTGGCTCTGTGCTCAGAGATTACTCCTGGTGCATTTAGGGGACCATATGGGATGCCAGGGAATGAACCAGGGTCAATCACCTGCAGGGCAAGCATCCTACCCACTGTACTATCACTCTGGCTCGATCACAAACATGTGTGAGTTGACCATTATGCACTTGAACATAGAGAGCCAGGCCAGGAGCAGAGGGGATGTCAGTGATGATGGAATCAGGGTCAGGGAGCTCTGTTGGAAGATTCAGGCCTCCAAAGGTGCCAAGCTCTGCCAGTCCCCTAAGCAAGCACCAAGGAGGTTCAGGTACGTGATTCAGAACAGGCGGTGTGTGTTCTTAGGCTCGGACACAAACATCCTGAATGGGGCTGCTGACAATACTGACCTGTGCCATACATTTGCCTATTTTTACATTCCTGGTCCATCTCCACCTCTCTGTCGCCATCACCATCAGTACCAACCTTTTTTGGAAAGATGCATTCTTTAACAAATGTCCATATCTGCCTGGACTGAGCAAGAGAACTCAAGGCGGCACTGTGTGTATCTAGGCAGACTTTTATTATGTTCCTCCTTATCTCTCTTGAGTGACCATCCACAGTCTTCCACTTTCAGTTGGAACAAATTCTTACAGAGGTTTGCAAAGTGATCAGAGTGCAGTATCCACCTAGATTTGTAAGATATTGCCTGATTTCTGATGACTATTTCATTCAACAAGTATTTTTAGCTAACAGAGGGTTTTTAATAGTTTTGATTTTTAAGCCAAGCTACAGATACAGAGAACAGACTGGTGGTTCCTCTTCCAAAGGCAGCAAGTGGCAGTTATGAGGACGCAGTGCACAGCCCAGGGATTAGTTAATAATTCTTTATTGCATATCTGAAAGCTTCTCCAAAAGCAGATCTTAAAAATTCTGATCACAAAAATAAATGTATCTTTGTTTGGTGATGGATTTTATTTATTGGGGGGAAGGGGGATTTTTGGGTCATACCCGGCAATGCTCAGGGGTTACACCTAGCTCTGCATTCAGGAATTACTCCTAGCAGTGCTAAGGGGACCATATGGAATGCCAAGGATCAAACCCTGGGTCGGCTGTGTACAAGGCAAACGTCCTACCCACTGTACTATCACTCCAGCCTCTAGTGATGGATTTTAACTAGCCTTATACCGTGGTGACTGTTTTGCACTTATACAAATATCAAACCATCACTTTGGACCATTGGAACCAATATGACTCTATGTCATCATACCTCAATTTAAGAATAAAACCAAAAAAAATTTTTAAGATAACCTTTTCTTTCTACTCACATGTCATAAGTTCATATCACTAATGTATTTTGCATACTATAATAAAAAGCACAGTGACATAAACAGTTTTGGGGGACAGACAGTAATGCACACATGTGGGAAGTTTGCAGTCATACTCAGAGTTAAGGCAGCTGCCATCAATTGCTAATAGTCAGTAAGATTTATAGAAAGAAAAAGACAACATTGGCTAGCCCTATTTCAATCTGCATAAGTGAAGGTCAAATAAGATTCTTTGTGGGGCTTAGGAGATAGCAAGCAAGCAAGCACACAGCCAAGCCAGATTCAATCCCCACTCTCCCATATATGGTCCCCAAGCCGCGAGCCCCACCAGGAGTGATCCCCAAGCACAGAGACAGGAAGAAGCCCTAAGCATAGCTGGGAGTGTCCCCCCAAAATTAAAAAACTTTCTCATGTATTTAAGTATCTAAATAATCTATTTTAAATACATTATTTAAGTAACCTAAATAACTAAGTTGCAATATTTGGTGAAATTGCACAACTTCTACAACAGGGTATTAGTGCAATTTACATGTCTGAACAGACGTTACAGCATTCTACTCCGTTCTCTCCTCCTTGCCAACGACTTAGGGGTATCTCAGGTCACACACATCCCTCCCCCGACTAATTGACATTTCTTCTAAACAGACTTTTCACTATTGCAGGACATTCATGCAGTCACTCACAGAGAAAGGAGTGCAAAAGGGTGTCTAGAGAAATCCACTCAAAGAATCAAAAAACTTTCTGCTGTCACAAC